TTGCTGAAAGGCCCACATTCTTGAAGTCTATAATTATCTAACAGATGTATATTACATTTATTATCCATATATATGGATGATAATTATACAGTATAATCCAACCAACATTTATTGATGCTAACTATGTAAAATTCAATATTTAGGATTTAAATATGTAGGGATGACTAATATGAACTTACACTGTAATAATAGTGGAATGAGACAGGTCCAAATTTATCTTAGAAAAGCCTAATCTCATATATACAAAGAGTAATGGGGGAGAGGCAGAAAGGTGTCTTTAAAAAAAATTAGAAATATTGAGTCAATTTGCTTTGACCAAAGCCATACATTTATAGCTTACAGTCAATATTTACACCCTGGTAATATTGTTTTTAAAAGTGCTTATTACTTTGATAATATCATTTGGCAAATATTTAGGGCCTCCTTTTTTAATATGCCAAATAGTTTCAACTTGTGGAAATTATCTGTCTTTCATCGAGTTGGAAAGGACATATGTACTAAAAAAGTACCTTTTGTTTTAGTCACTGCCATCATAACAATCATTACACTTGATGAGACATTTCAAGTACATTCTTGTGTCTGTGGAGAGAATTGAAACTACAGTGGCCTCCCTCTGATCTCAGATTTTAGAATTTGATCTAAAAACCTATTAAAGACCTAGAGAGCTTAAAAGTGGCATAACTACCACTTTACTGATGACCTATATTCAGGGGCAGTGGCAGTGGCTATGTGCGGGCATGGGTGACATTGATAAGAATTAGGCTTTACTGAATCTATGGGAAGGACTAGGAAGATTCTTTGTTATTTCTGACAGATTTTATCCAGAGTCTTCCCTTCCCTGCCTTCTCTTTTCATTAATAGCATCCATGGTTTCACCATGTAAAATATTACCAAAAAGCTTACACAATAAAAATAAAAATGACACTTTGCAGTAATATGGTACTTTCAAAGCATTTTTCAGATACAGCATTTTATACAGTCCTCACAACTTTTCTCTGGGATACATAGGACTGGTATTTATAGTCCCAAGTAAGAATAGAGAATAAAGAATGTGTTTAGTGGCATTTCATTTAAAAGTTAATATTTTTACATTCTTAGTTAAAAATTTTACTGATATTTACATTGCTAAATGTTTGTGTCATGGGGCAGGTTTTAGGTGAAGATGAGAAGGATGGAAAGGTGAGATGTTCCTAAAACTTTTAATGAAAATCAGCTTGCAGCTCTGCCTATATATCTTTGTTACAATTTGCATTTATATATTTTTTAAATATCTAGTTTCCTCACCAGTGGTTTTTCTTATTTTCTCTTTGAATGGTAAACTAGGATTTGTAGGTAAGAACGCAATTTTATTTCTAACTGAAAAGTATAAATCTAGCCATTTTTGAGGAACAAAATAGAAAAAAAGTCTATCTGAACAGCAAGATTCCATCAACACTTCACATTATAGTTTGGAAGAAAGACAGACAGACGCTAAAAAAACTGAAAAATGTTCACTTTATAAAATGGGAGAAACATGAACAATGTTGAATGCATTCTTTCTTCATTGTAATTTAAAATTTTATCTCTTCATTCATGAGCTTTGCATTTAATAATGTCAAACAATTAACTCCATGTGCACAAACCACATTAATCATAGCGCTTGCAAATTAGTTTCATGCTTTGCGCTGCCTTGCATTGCATTTTCTTTGTTTTTGAACCAGTTGATTTATTGGCTCTATTATGTATCTTAGCTAATTGTGGTTATTTTTTATCTGTATTATCAACATCTGTTTGAAGTATCGATCCTATGACTCTCTCATTTGAATTAATTCTGTTTAATTAAAAAAAAATTTTTTTGTCATTTAAAATCTGAAAATCAGATTGGTATATGACTCAAAAATTCTAAACCCACCCACACAAACTAAATACCTTCACAAACACTACAAAGCTCTTCTACTGAGTTTTGCAGAAGAAGCAAGTATTTGATTAAAAAAAGAGAGATAAAACAAAGTTATTATTATTAATATTCAAAAAATAATCAATAATTCTTAAAAGTTAAAATGTGAGTATCTTTGTCATCACTTATAATTCTTCCATGGATCCACTGAATAAGTCACTCAGAGGGCAGTTACTGTCTCTCTGAAAAGGCATCCTGTTGCCTTATAAAATAGGATGATGCATTTAAGGAATAAAGTGTCTTAATTTTAACCAGAGAAACTGGCAGCTACAGTACATAATGATATTAATGGAGTGCTCTCTGCCTTCATTCTTTATTTGTATTTACTTAAAGTCTTTTTTATAGCAACCACAAACTGAGTGGGTCATTCACTAGCAGCAGATCTTAACACCAATTATTTCAGATGCCCCTTTTAAAAACATTATTACACTCTGAGAAAGGAAAAGCAAGACAAAACATAGCAGGGACTCTTTATTTCTTTTAATCTATTACTCTAAATATACCAGAAAACTAGTTCATTTGCTAAAATACAACCTTCTCTGTGGCTACTAACTAGATTTAGAACCATCGTTCTTTAATTTGTTGTATGTTAGTTTTCCTTTTCTGAAATGTTAACAATAAAATAATCTTGCAGTGCTTCCTATCTGTGCATATCTGTGTACCTATCTGTACGTAGTCATGTTTGGTGTCTGCTTTTATCAATAACTTACTTCATTATGAATTAGACATCTAATTTTTTTGTAAGAAACAAAGCCAGGACTTTGAAAATCTATATTTTGACTTGCATGAAGTAAAATAAAGAACTCAATGTTGTATGTTAATATAAATAAAAACTTGCATAATATAAACACTAATTGTTATCATTAGATCTTCCTGGAATCTCGATTTTATTCCTAACTTTAAAAAATTATTTCTACTGACATTTTACTTTACTTCTAGGAAAAAGCTACCCTAATATTTTGGTCTGCAGCCTCTTTTCTTTTCTTTTTCCTAAATTATACACATTTTTTAAAATTGCCAAACATTTAGAAACAATTTAGAAACATTGCAAAATGACAAGTTTGATCTGCTTTGTAAGGTATTTGTCAAACTAATTCTATAATCTATTCAACCCAACTATTGAAAAGCAATATATGTTGTCTAGGAAGAATATGGAACAAATATTTATTACCAAAATAGAGACACCATATAAAAGGTACGCTGTAGGGTATAAAAGATAATTGCCATACAAAGGGCTAGGTTCTTGAATTAAAGGGGTAAACTCTACTTACCTAATTTCTTTTTCCCAACAAAACCTGTCTATTTTAAATAATGACTTTTCTTTCTTTTTAAACAACAATTTATTTTATTTTTATTTGATAGATAAAATTGTATATATTTACCAAGTACAACATGATGTTTTTAATTATATATACATTATAAAGTGGTGAAATCAAACTAATCAGCATATGCATTACCTCACAGTCATCATTTTTTTTGTGTGGTAAGAACACTTAAAATCTAGTTTCTTAGCATTTTGCAAAAATACAATATATTGTTATTAGTCACCATGTCGTGCAATAGACCTCTTGAACTTCTACTTACTTGATTTAAAGGAATAAATTATGGCAAGTCTGATTTGAAAGATGAGCATGATTTTAAATAGTCTTCTGACTTTGGGAGGCTAAGGCAGGCAGATCCCTTGAGGCCAGGACTGTGTAACCATCCTGGACAAGGTGTTGAAACCCCACCTCTATTGAGGCAGGAGAATCACTTGAACCTGGGAGGCAGAGATTGAAATGAGTCAAGATCGTGCCACTGCACTCCAGCCTGGGCTACAAAATGAGACTCCAAAAAAAAAAAAAAAAAAAAAAAAAAAAAAAAAAAAAAAGGCTTCTGAATACATAGCTTCTGGATGAGAAAAAGGGGAAAAGAGAAAGAAGAAAAACCATTTGGCAAATACAAGAAGACAAAAGAGAACATTTGGTGTTGTGGAAGGTAAAACAGAACCACAAAATCAGTGGATAAGCAATCAACAATTCATCTCTAATTGCCAAACCAAACAACCCTTCTAAAGTGCCTTGATGTTAATAAATTATCAGAAAAGCAGGTTAGTAAATTACAAATCATGCAAAACTCCTCGATATCATAAAATGAATTTTAAAAAAAGTTCATAGAAAACTGTATTGCAGAAAGTCAGGTAACAAATGTTCATATAAAGCTAATGTGGAAAAGTGTCCCTTGGAGAAACAGTCAGGAGGAATATAAGTGGTAGATCTACTCATCAAACAGAATTAAGCATATTCAATGAGCATTTGAAGATTTAAACCTCACCAAGTGCCAGAACCTTGGAAACAAACAAAAAGCAAATAGGAACAAAAAATAGTGATAAGTGAGAAAATATTTAATTTAGAAATGAAATGGAAGGAAACATAGAATAGTATCAGAAATCAAGAATAAATTAGAAGGTATTCAATGGAGAATACACTCAAACGAAAATTTAATACACTATATTGAAGCAAGGTAGGAAAACAACCAAGAGAATGAAAGAAACAGCCAAAGAAGAAATGATATTTTATTCTATCAGTCCTTGAAGAAGACAAATGAAAGAACAGAGCTAAAATTTAGCACTCTAATCTATAAAAATTAATCAGAATCCGAAAGTTGACAAGGCATCTAGATTACCCAAAATTAACCTAAAACAAAGTTTTCTGAGTAAAACTTTCTGATTTCAAATACAAAGATGCCCATCATAATACCCATGTGTTGTGGGAGGGAACCGGTGGGAGGTAGTTGAATCATGGGGCTGTTTCCCCCATGCTGTGCTTGTGACAGTGAGTGAGTTCTCATGAGATCTGATGATTTATTAAGTGTATGACATTTTTCCTGCTGGCATTCATTCTCTCTACTGTTGCCCTTTGAAGAGGTGCCTTCTATCATAATTTGCAAGTTTCCAGCCATGTGGAACTGTGAGTCATTTAAGCCTCTTTTCTCTATAAATTACCCAGTCTCAGTTATTTATTCATAGCACTGTGAGAATAGATTAATAGAGTAAATTGATACTAGGAGTGGGGTGCTGCTATAGAGATAGCTGCAAATGTGGAAGCAACTATGGAAATGGATAACAGGTAGAGGTTGGAACTGTTTGGAGAGCTCAGAAGAAGACAGAAAAATGTGGGAAAGTTTGGAGCTTCGTAGAGATTTGTTGAATGGCTTTGACCAAAATGCTGCTAGTAATATGGATAATGAAGTCTGGTCGGGGCAGTCTCAGATGGAGATGAGAATCTTGTTGGGCACTGAAATAAAGATGATACTTGCTATGCCTTAGCGAAGAGACTGGCAGCATTTTATCCCTGCTCTAGAGATCTGTGGAACTTTGAACTTAAGAGAGATGATTTAGGGTATTGAGAGCAAGAGAGCGAGCGAAAAAGAGAGAGAGCGTGCAGGAGAGAGCGAGCACATTTTAGGCAGATACAGAATTTAAAAAGGCATTGAAAATTGATTCTCTGTGTTGCGATAGAGATAGCCTCAATTACCTGCTCTCCTTCCAGGATTGCAGACATTTTGTCAATCAGATGTTTATTCTCTAGAATAAATCACAAAGAATTTTTTTCTAGATGTATTGAAGAAATAAAGCAAACTGGTGAAGATACTCTGCAAGTTAAGGCTGATATTTAGTGACCCTAGAAACATTGCCTGGCTTTCTTTTATTTACTCTAAGAAACTTGTACAGTTTTAAGCCCTATACATGTATACATGTACACAGGGTTTAGGGACAGCTTTGTTCTTATTCAAAGATGAAGGTAAAGATTGCAAAATAGGAGAAAAAGTCTGTAATAAACAGATGGTAAAATATCTCCACAGAAATAAGATAAATATTTTTACAAAAATAAGTGTATTTATTTTATTAATATTAATATATTTTAAAAATATGTATTTTAAATAAGAAAGATTGATATCCCCAGAGATAATTTTAAGATGTTGAATTTATAAAACAAGAACTGTATAATAATAAAAAGTTAATAGACAAAACTTTGGGAATTTAAATGAGCACATATACTCTAAGAAGACAATACAATTCAGAGTCATAAATTAAAACAAATTTATGTTAGAAAATTTTTAAAAGATGGAAAGAGGCCGAGCATGGTGGCTCATGCCTTTAATCCCAGCACTTTGGTAGGCTGAGGCAGGTGGATCACAAGGTCACGAATTAGAGACCAGCATGGCCAACATAGTGAAACCCGGTCTCTACTAAAAATACAACAATTAGCCAGGCATGGTGGCACACATCTGTAGTCCCAGCCACTCAGGAGGCTGAGGCAGGAGAATTGCTTGAACTGAAGAGGTGGAGGCTGCAGTGAGCCGAGATGGTGCCCGCACTCTAGCCCCGGCAAAGGTGCGAGACTCCGTCCTGAAAAAAGAAAAAAAAAAGAAAACAAGAAAGAGACAATCAATATGTATCATATGTATGTATGTTTATATACAATATATATTTATATACTGTATAGGATCCATAAGATTTATGTGTACAGATATCAAAGAAAATAATAAGGAAGTCATTTATTCTGCAAAAAAAAAAAAATAGCAGAAAATGCTTTCCAATGGATTCAGGATACAGGTACATATGTTTGTATGTAATTATTTATTGATTGATATTGAAATTACTAAGTATAAGAAATAAAAATAATACCTTAGTCACAAAAGAGATCATCAAGAGAAGAATTAGGATAAGACTAACGTTGACTTTCACATCTAAAACAGTATTTTAGAAGACAAAAAACAATTATTTCAAAGATCAGAGGAATAGGTATTTTGAATTCCCAATTCTAAATCCATTCAGCCGTGGGAAAGAACCAAAAATATATACAATATACAAGAAATAAGAACACTTGCCTCTGAAGCATTCTGACTTAGCAAATTCTTCAGGGACCCAGACTATCAAAAAAAGTGAGTAAAGCAAGAAAGTGGAGAAATGGGGATTCAGGAAAATTTGACTTCATTTAAACAGAGCAATAAAGGGAATTCCCAGAATAATATCTTTGTACCTGACCAAAAAATCATTAATTTCAATTTGTAGAACTAAAATGGTAAGTGTGTGGATTTAATAGGAGTAATATGAACAGATTGTATAATATATGAAAATAGTTAATGATATAATTATACAAGTTAGCAAGGAAATTCAATAAAAATTTAGGAAAATGAAAAATGTACACAAATAAGAAAATCTAATGCTCTCTTAGTTATTTTTGCAGTAATTTTTCCAAATTTTAATAACTTATAACAACCACTGCTTTATTATATATCACAATTTTGTGGATCTAGATGGTGAGCTTTGTTTATCCAAATAAATCTACTATTCCAGGTGTCATCAACTAAAGATATTTGGTGATACTCAGATGGTGGATAGGCTGGTATAAAGGATACCAGACTGAGTCACTCATATGTCTATTACATTGGAAGAAATAGATGAAAATGTGTATCTCACTTTAACTGTTAAAAGTCCTTACACATACTTTCTTCTGCATGGTGGTCTCAAGGAAACAAAACTTGTGTAATAGCTGCTGAAGGATCCTAGATTACCTTCCAAGATACATAATGGAAAGTGCCAATCTCTTAATTTCTAGGCCTAGAAACTGACATAGTATTACTTTTGCCTTATTCTTTTTGTCAAAACAGTCATATTAACAAGTCAAATTCAAACAATGGGATCCTCAATCCCATTGTCAATTTGAAAAACAATATATGATATTCTTTATCATAGTACATCATTTAGTTTAGCCATCACTGATTTTTGCAAAAGCATATATAGGTAGACAATTTTTATTGATTTCAAAATTTTAGTCAGCCAAGATATAAACGATACAAGATTTCCTATGGTTTTAAAAGAGAATGGAAATATTTTTGAACTCAGAAATATTAAAATAAAACTACAAATGATAGAATTTAAGAAATAGTTAAAGGAAAACTATAAATTGTATCATAGAAGAAATATAATTGGATGTTAAATGTTCTCACCATAAAATTGATAATTATATGATCTTATGCATTTGCTAATTAGCTAGAGCTAATCATTCCACAACAATTATATATATGTATGTATATATACATATAATATATATATATGTATGTCAAAACATCATGCTATACATACTAAATATATATACTTTGATGGTCAATTTAAAATAAATAAGTTTAATTTAAAAAAAGAAAGAAAAGCTAACTATAGGAAAAGAATTCCATTATCTTGCTTTTCTAGAGGAAGAAAGTGGAAAAAGTTATTTGTAGTTTACACAAGTATAAAAAATATATTGAAAACATTTAAGTATATAAAGCTAACAAAATAATTTATTTCTTTAAATAATGGTGGGAGTTATGGGGGAGAGAAAGTAATATAAGTGAGCTAAATCTTCATCCAGTACAGCAGAAATTCAGTACATAAAATATGAACTAGATTACATAAATATAGTGCTATAAACATATTTTTTAGAGGTTTCAATATAGCTATCTCAAAAAACAATTAAAAGTTTAAAAGTAGCTCTCAAAGTGGAGTGAAACTAGAGATAAAAGAGAAGTCTGGCAGAATGATATTTCTTTTAAAGGAAGGCCACTGGTTCTACTAGTTTGTATGCATTTTAGGTTATATGTGTTGAATCCAAAATAAAAAGGAAGTTGTCAAAAGGAAGGTATGGACTAACCCACATTTCTACCTAAGACCGACTCAGATGGGCCAGCATCATATCAGGAATTCCAGGATCCTGGAATTCCCAGAGGAAAGGCCATAATGTAAGCAGTGTTGGTCATTCTAGTGAGCAGGAGGAGGAACAGCTATCAAGTGGCTGAATATAGAGTAAATATATAAAAAAGTTATCTATTCTAATATGCTGGGGAAAAAGTATACGGTAAAAGGACACACATTGCTGATACCTGGATTTTTTTGTAAGAAAAAAAAGATGTACTTAAGTGTGTATGATAAGAAATATCATTCTGCTGAATAAAGAGTTAATAACTAGTAATCTTTAAGTGAAATAATCATAATTGTGTTCTAACATGCATTATTAATGATTCCATATTGGGTACTGAGAAAAAAAAACTTTAGTTAATGAATGCTTAGAAAACAGATTTTGTTATCCTATTATCAAAAATTTTCCCACCCCTTACTTACATGCATCCAATTAAATATCTTATCAAATGGTCAGGTCCTTGGATGAAGATGGCATTGCAAATGCAGAGAATTCTGTCACTAAGGTTGAAATTGATTCAAGTTCCGATTTCAAGAACTTTTTTCAAGTGCATTCCATAGCTCTAGTTATTTCTGTTCCTGTTTGTTATGCACAGATCTTTGCAAATTCTAGAACTCCAGGAGGTAGAACTCTCCCCCAGTTCTGCTAGCTACAGCTGCCCGTAAATACCAAGGAACTTATGAATCTAAATGCCTGCTGCTGTAGGAGGGCTTATATAAGATTTCTTGGCTCTTGGTGAAAAGAGAAGAGTCTCTAATTTGAGAAGAAGAGAAGTACTCTCTTCTCTTCCAATTTATCTAGCCATAATATCCTTAGAAGTCATTTACACTATATCATTTCTTGTGATTGGGTTATGGAATATATCATTTTGTTTTTCTTCTGCAGTATTACAGTTTAAATGTTTCAAGCATGTTTGTAATCTAGCACCAACTTCTAAAGATTCTGGAATATCTAAAGATCATCATCATTTTCGAATAAGAAAATGACTTTCCTAAATGTTTTAAAATAAATCATGCAGAAAGAAACATGCTATATTATCATGTCTCATCTTTCTTTTAGGTTTATAAGACCTGCTTTATCATTTTTTCTAATGTCTGTTGTTTATTCTACCAGCCATTATTTCAGTACAAACATATATGCAGAGAATTTACTCATTAGAAAATAAATATTTGTTAACAGTTAGTAGTAGTTAATATCTTATTTCTGGATACAGTAATTTTTAGCTCATCAACTGGGGAGAGACTGATACATAATAATAAATTTACATTACAATGTAATACATTATCATAAAAGCACATTCAAGTAGCTGTAAGTATCCAGAGAACGAAACACATAACTGTTAAGCAGGTGTAGAGAACAGGGTGTAATTGTAATTTTGGTTTTAGAGTATCTTTAAACTGAAGTATAACATTGATATACACACCTCTCCTATTTTCATAAGAACAAACAAACCAAAAAGGAAACCAAAACAAAAAAACAACAGAATCCAATAGACTAATTCAAGAGATACTGTATTGGTTAGTGTATAAAACTGAGAAATCAGCTATAAAACCAGTGTCTT